GGCGGGGGGGGGGGGGGGGGGGGGGGGGGCACGCTTCGGCCGGTCAAATCCATGGCTTGCTCGAGATCCCCCTCCCGCACCGGATGCATGCACTTGTGGATCGACCAACACCGCTGTTGTCCTCTGTGCGGATCGCATTTGCAGCTGTTGCTCGACTCCGACGTCCTCCCCCTCTTCCGAACCGAATGTCGGACGAGCCGACAGCGTCAGGCGAGCTGCCATCGACGGTGATTGCACGCACGACGCAACCCACGGCTTCATTTGACGCATGCTGCTCCAGCCTCGATGGACCCGGTTGACCGGCCTGCCTGCCTGCCTGCCAACGCCCTTCGAGCATTCATCTTGTAAAGGAGATCTCGTCGGTCCATCTTCTGACATGCCCATGCGCCGTTCGAGATCGTCGAGTCGAATCAGCCACACTGGAAGCAGTCGGAATAGCAGGCCCAGCAGCGGCAGCACACTTGACGAGCGCTCGCCCTCGCTTCGTCAGCCGACACGTCTCGCATACACAGATGAGAGCGGCTGAGCCGACCTGCCAAAACAGGAGCGGAACTTTACACCATTGTTACACTTACATACTAACATTATTAAACACGCGCATCGCTTTTCGGCTTTCGGCTTCTTGCGAACGTCGGCATGCGGCGGTCTTCTTCTCGCCCCACAAAAGCGCGCCGACCCCGAAGGCTCTGGTCCATCGTCCGGGCTAAACGGCCCACGGCTTAAGCTTGCGTCTTCCATACCCTGCCATCTGTCCTTGCCTCTTCAACAGTCTGGCCGCTCCCCTCCTTTTCATTCACTCGCCCGCTTCAAGGCCCCTGTCCAACTCGCGCGAACGATCGCATCTCATCCCGTACAAGGTTACAGAGCCAAGCAACGTCGTCGCAGCCTCGATCACAAGGCGTCTAGCCGATCCGTGATTGCAACCGCTTCGCCAGTGCTTTGACCATGGCTTCCACATCGCAAGCTGCCGGCTCGCCGGCCAAGCCGGTCAAGATCTCCACCGCCGAAGGC